TGGACAATTCTGCTACATATGACAATTCCTGTCTACTACAATGGTGATTCTGAATAATCATGGAAGATTCTGGAAATACGTGTAGTGAATCTGAACAGATAATTGGCTCATTTCAACTCATTCCATTGGACTCATTGATACCATTTATTAACAGAACTTTTTTCCACCATTTGTCAAAGTAAAATTATTGGAATGATGCACAAAAATTACATTTGTGAACAGTACAAGAAGTGAAAGTGTTGTAGCGCTGTTTGGATGATAAATGGTTAGTTACAAGGTCACTATTGTACGTATCTCTGTCCTAAACTTTTTATGTAGTGCTGCCACATAGCATAATTTCAGAAAGATTAAGCTTGATTTTTATAAAGAACACTCAAAGGAAAAGGCACATTTCAAGAAAGCATCAAGTTTGACATTAGATTTTTAAAAACCAAAAAATGAAAATCATCAAGATATTTTTTAACGTTTGATCAAAAAATAATATCAGAAATAAATAGTAATCTTTTTTTGCCTTTTGTACTAATAATATATGCATGTCTTACCCATAACAACTCATCAGAATATAGCACTGGTAATAAACTGGTAGTCAAGAAACACCAAAAAGAGAGGATAACAACCGCTCTCTGACTATGATTGAAAGCAATGCGAAAAGGTGGATTTAAAGAGACAGCTGATTCAGTGATTTGTATTGCGAACTTCCCTAAGACATACATTAAAGCATTACAAGAATGATCAAAGTAAACAGGAAAATTTGGGAATCCTGCACAAATAGACCAACCCCATCTGGATTTGGATTAGGATTTTGTTAGCAAGAAAATTAAGTCATCATTTTGTTACTCAAAATTATTAATAAAAAATTAAAGAAGATGAAAAGGAATAACTCTTAAGTTCAGTACTCTAGTATTTCTATTTCGGAAATAATCATTTCATACTAATTGACTAAAGTGCAGTAAATTCAATGGCACAACATTCACATACTACAAATCTTACAGACTTATTAAAATTCAACTTAATTAAAACTCATATTTTAAGGAATACAGGATAGATTTTAAGAATATGAGGAAAGAATAAACATTTGCACATTTGCATAAAATACAGATGAGTTAATGGTAATAGAGAAAACAAATCAATAACTAGCATATAACTAACCTTCATTATGTTCATGCTCCATGTCTTCATATTGTTCCTGCTCCTGTGGTTGTTGTTCATCTTCATTTGTGCTCATCTTCATATCATCATACGAAGATGAAGAGATTGCAGTATGTTCCGAGACTTCACCATAATCTTGCTGCTGTTGTTGCTCTAATTCATCATGTTCATCAATTTCCATTATTTGGAAATATACGCAGTAATATTTCTTAAATGAACCAAAATATTCTGAAAAAATCAGTAATGATCCATATCTATAAAATAATGACAGATCTTCTAACTAGAAAGATTTAAAATAACCATTTTCCAGAAACCAATCATCATTCATTAAATAGCTGTGAGTCATAAGATAAAGAAAACAGAAAACGATTCAAAAGAAGACAATAGAGGTCCTAGATCGTACAAAAAAAAGCTGATCAAATTCCATAAACAAATAGCAGCAATCATATAATCCTCATAAAAAAAATGAACTTCGAGAAATTAACAAGTGAGCCTACAGCTTAATACTCTTTTTTTCACTATGGTTTTTTAAAACATATCTTTCGATCAAATTTGTTAAAGTGCAATAAAACTGTAGTGACCAAACTGTTAAGAAATGCATCAAATGCAACTTGAAATAATACTACAATAACCTGGATCTGAGAGATACATGTGATTTAATGATTAATTATCGTAAGCATTCCTATCCACTCATAGCTTATATGCAATGCAAAAATAGATTTCCTTATATCCAACCTATTCTATCTATTTGTATTATGATTATTATTACGAAATCTCTTCTACTGACCTACCTTCCTTTTCCACTCAAGAATCCCGAAGAATGAGAAGGCGAGAAACAGCACGGATCGAAGAAACTGCAAAACAGCGAACCAAAAATGCTTCAGCATGCCTGTGCTACGCGTGACCACCGTGTGTAACCATGATTGGACGGTCGGTGCAACTAATACGTCTTAGTGATGGAGTTGGATGAAAATTTTTTGTTTTTTTTAAGCTTCCAAAAAAGGTTCATTTGTATGAAAACAACTGTAAAATTGAACACATTGATAATTGTGTGCTTGTGTGATTAACAGAAAGGCATACAACCAAATTCATATGTTATATTTGATACCACAAGAAAACAGTGATTATCCGTATGCATCACTTTATCCGAGAACAAACCAACCAATTTACTCGAGAAAAAAAAAGTGATTGACCAATCATACAATGCATAATATTCCGAAATCACTTTGAAAATTTTTTTGCAAACTTCAAGTCAAATTTTATTTTCTTTCTAATATTTCCCATTTTAAAATTCTCGAGTTTTTTCTTCTTGTTTAATACGCTTAATTCCATCATTCTTAGCCCGGCACTGAAATCAAATAATGAATAATTGTCATATTCTTTCACTCGTCCAAGTCATATCAAATCAGAGGAAATGTACATACAATGCATATGCATTTACACATATTTAAATATTTTAATTACACATATATATATATATGTATTCTTTTAAAACGATATAAAATATATAGACAGAGATGGAAACAAGCAAACAAACAAATATGTAAATAAAATCAGATGTGAATTGAGTGGATCATATATTAACAAAGTAGACGCACTCAACTGTCCATCTATTGACCAAGCTGAACTCGGTGTGCTGCGTGAAGATGGTACCGAGAAAGAGTGAGATGATATTGGTTTGCTAATTTAATATCTCATTTCTAATCTTAAAACTTATTTTTTATGATATTTTTCATCTAAAGAAACGGAATAATTTGTGAGAATCTTTTGATGAATAATATTTGTTTAGTGAGATTTATTCCGGAAATATCGCTGATTATTGGATGAAAACCTTGACAAAATTCAGTTACAGTCTTTTATTTTTATCCCTTTCATCAATTTTTATTTTACACATAAAATTTGATTTAATATTGAACGGCTTAAACATTAATTGAAGTTATGTAGCTTTTATTTCATAATCAATTTCCATTCGGTTCAAATTGAAATTTGTCCCAGAGCTATTCAAAATTTGGATGACCAACAAATAAATGATTTAAGATTTTTACGCGAGGTAACAATATTAAAAGTATGTTTCGTCTTTATGTCGTAAAAAATCCATCAAAAGAAAAATTGATTTGGTTAAAAGTAAATCTTTTCGTTCATCCATCTGTCATTTCTCAATCGTTTCAGCATTTCCAATTTACAAAGAATTGCTGTCATTTTTATTTTTCATAATTTTAGCTAACATTTCTGTCGCAATGTTCCTCAATTTTAAGTTCCACAAATACTCAGTAACTGCAATAATGTGTGAATCACTGCTTTTCCTTTCTAAAAAAAGTGTGCTTTCTTCTCTGCACTGTCAATAGTGATGTGAGCAATTTTTATCTCAGATTGCTAATTAACACAAATTTTAAGGAAAAGGAATTTCAAATTTGTTTTAACTTCAAAATTTACATCATTCCAATATCCTAAAATTTCTTTACGCTATCAATTTAGTAGAATATTTGGTGCGAATGGAAAAATAATTAATAATTTTAAATCTTTCTATATAAATTATATTCAATTTTAAACACCTTTTATATTCATTTTTTCTAGATACTAATATCGTCTTGCATCTTTTCAATCCAATTCTTCTCCTTCTATTTGAATTGTAAATTTTCCTCATCCATTACCATATTATGAAAGATACTGATCTGTCAAAATAAGAATAAGTTATTATTATAAGATGAGACTAAAAAATAATATTAAAGATTTTTCGTTTTTGTTACAGTTATGAAGCCATGAGACAGTTTGAACTACAAGACATTAGGAATTAAACTTTGTGAAAATTTTCATTTAGAAATTCTATAATTTGCTTAACCCTAACAATGTAATACGATGGGAGTTTTGATGGTTCGATTAAATAAATTATTTAAAATTGTGCAATTAAACAAAAAATAAATGTCAATCTCCTATTACAGTAATTGGTCACTAACATCATAGTGATGATGTGTAATTGCAATCCTGTTGTTATATTTTTTATGCAGCATCGAACTTTTTATAAATTTACAGAATTCCACATTATTGGAAATAATATCGATGAATTAATTCGAGAAATTGATTTGTAAAAGCTGCAATTTTTTTTTTTTTAGATGAACTACAGAAGCAATTTTGAAAATATCTGTGATAATATATCTCAAGCGGAACATCAATTGCAGCAAGTACTTTATATTTATTATTTTTAAATTATTTGATTATAATAATTAAAGCATACGATAGGTCAAATAATGGTAGCATAGGTTATATGTTCTCCTTAGATTTAGCTCTGTAGCATTGTAAAAGCAAACAAATTAGTAGAATATAAAGTTAAAACTAATTGTATACTTTCGATAGTTTGGATGATCGGTGATTTCTTTGAGATTGAAATATTTGACATTTAATATCGAATAGCACCAAATAGTTTTTCATTCAGAACTAATCGGTCTTTCGATACATTTCCCTCATGCGATAGATAGAATATAGCATACATTGATTTTCCGAAAGAAGCTAATTGAACTTTCGTCCGCACAGCATAACTGCAAGAACTATTTACAGGCCTATCTACTAAATAACAAGCCTTTGATCTAACATTAACATCAAAATTATGAATGTTATAAGATATAACCATTTTTTTGAATTTTTAGTTCTAAAATTTTCATTGAAAATTTATCTCCCTTACTAAGCAGTAATAAATTTAGAAGGCATTGAAAATAATTTGGTGGTCCAATGTGATTTGCTTACCTATCATTGCTACTATTGGTTTAGCTTGCAATATTTTTAATATTCTAATCCTATCCACTCATTCATCAGCACGGCGTATTCCATCCTGGTAAAACTAATAATATATATTTGATTTTATAAGATATAATTGATATCATTTGTACTGAACAACGATTACATTGAATATTTCAGGAGTATTAAGTAGAAGATTGTATCATTGATGGATATTATATTTTCAAAAAATGATACCATCCTTCAGAGGTGTTAATTAATAATAATTTTTGTTGCAGGGATTTATTGCTAGCTCTAGCTGTTTGTGATTGTTTATTTCTGATATTAGCAATAGTAGAAGTGATACCGACCAGCTTATCACCATTATTTGTTTCATCATATTTCAATGTTGTTTACATCCATTCAGCATTATACATACGTATGCTTGCATCCACATTTTACAAGTCTTCAGTTCTGTACGTTATACTTCCACTTCTCGTTTATTTCAAATAGTTGAAATTATATTTGGAATGATAAAAGTTACATTTATAAGCTATTGAAGTTTGAGACTATTCTCTCAAAGACTATTACTAAGCATTAATAAATTCTAGTTGTAATTGTTATTCCTTTTTTTTTTTTCCAACTTTTCTTTCAATTATTTTTGAAATACATCATTTCTGTAATTATTCCAACTGGATAATAAATTCGAAATGATAATATCATAAATAATAATGATTTTAGACTGGTAGTAATGTTTAATTTGGAACGTTACATCTGTGTTTGTCATCCATTCCGATCGTATAATTTATATTCAAATCATACAAGTCGTATTGCTATTTTTATTTGTTTAATTGTATCATTGTTATGCTCATTGCAATGGCCGATCTGTTACAGAATTCGATCATGTTGGGACAATCATTTAAATCAACATTTTTATATTATTACATTAACTGATAATCCAGAATTGCAGGTAAATTAAAAATTTAAAATATTATAATTGTAACAAAATACAGCATTACTTATCATTACATCAAATGTCATCATTTTAAATTATGAACTTTTTTAATAAATGATGACATAAATATAACAATAAGTAATATTGTATTTTGTTACAATTATAATATTTTAAAAATTTCTAAGCTGTTGATGAATTATTAAAAGTGATATTTGTTAGTTCAATCTTGTAATTTAAAAAAATAATTTTTTTCCCTCCAAATTTCTTTTATTATAGAAGTATTATCGTTTGATGGATTACTTTACTCTCATTGTATTCAATGTATTACCAATTGTTATTATTTGTATACTTAACAGTCGATTGATAGTAACATTATGGAAAATTGTTAATCGAGATTTCAAAATACACAGAAGCTTTACATGTGATGATAAGAATAATGACAATGCAGATGATAGACTCATGACTATCACTACTGTCACTACAACCATCAGGAATAGTAATGCGAATGCTCCTGTTGTTGTGGTGAGTGATTACTTCCGTCTTTATTGAATAAATAGATAAGTAAATAAAGCCGGATATGTATGCAATAGAAATTCATCAAACAAATCAGGTAAGAGAGCAGAAAAAAAGATGGAGAAATTTGAAGAGTTTTCAATTTTCAAAAAGATTCTTTCACTTCCTCTCTTATTTGTAAATCTAATTTGGTGACAATTTATTTGCAAGTGTCTCATTCAATTTTGCTAAATATAAATTTCCTCTGACAATCTCTCTCTCTCTCTCTCTATTTTCCGCAAGTTTTGTCTTTTATGAAGCAAAGAATTTGATACATCAAAATTCGGAAAAACTTTCAGGATGCTATAAGAAGTCAAAGGTCAGCAGCACAATGTTTCAGTGCTAATGCAATGCTATTTGTTGTTGTGATTATGTTATTGATTTGTGTTGGACCACAAGTACCAGCACGATTACTTTTCAATCATTATGGACAGTATCATTTAACGACAATCATTTATATATGTGTCACTCAACAAGTATTTATACTTTTCATTTCTATAAATCGATAAATAGGTGGGAAGAAAGGCATGAAAAAAATTCGATTATCTCTATTTCTTCACAGTATATTTCAAATAAATCTATTGATATAATTATTGATTTAGTAAAAAAAAAAAATGTTAATGAATCATTTTGTTTGTTTTTGTTAGTTAACAATTACATTTATTTCACCGATCAGTGAATTCAATACAATGCGATAATTAATTTGTATATAATATATGTCTTAGTAATATAAATTTTTTTTCGTTTCAACGAATTCAGCTTGTTTTCCTCAATGCTGCACTAAACTTCTGCCTTTATTGTTTGGTAAGCAAACAATATCGTCAACTAATGATGGAAACATTTAAAGGATTTACTGGAAAGATAACTGAAAAGTAAACTTTCATTTAATCATTACTTCCTGTAGTACGTGAAAAATCAGAAAAATCATTTTGTCTTTTTAATCTATCATTTATTGAACAAAAAAAAAAAAAAAGGAAAAGTTATAAGATATAGTAATTGAACGATACAAGCAGGAAAAGATACATTTATTTACTTGGATATTTCTTTAATTATATCATATCATTCCAGATATTGCTCAACAATTAAACTGGAAGGTACGTCACGTAATTCGTCATTACGTGACGTGTATGTGAAATGTATAACAGTAAGATGAATGCAAGCACGAAAAATACCAAGGGAGAAGTACTCGGTATTTATATTATTAAATTCTGGAGCGTAATTTGCAATCCAAAGAAAAAGTAATAGAATGCAAAAGTCTTGAAAAATTACGAAAATTTTCCAAACGAATGACGATATATGCATCCAAAAACTTACCCAAATTGCGTAATAGATACAGCCAAACTGAAATTTCTACCCTTATTCATAAAGGAAATTTAAATACTTCCAAATAGATGATCCAAGTTCTGTGAACAATCAGAGCAAACGTTATGTGAATAGAGAAAATGATATACTAATTACGATAAGAAGGTCATCATTGTTAGCTTAATCAACGTCTAATCAATGATCATTGTGATTCATTGTATTTATCAAGAATTGATACAAATAGAAAGGTTAAATCATTTAAATTTACCTCGAAATGTTTGTTGTTTGTTAACTGAAGTTGACATAGAATGCCGAGAAATACGTGGAATAACAAGATACTGTTATGCAAGAAATATCCTTTACACATATAAAAGATATAACGTTAAAAAATGACTGCTTAGAATCGTAAATAAAATTATGAAAAAAAAAATACACGTTCAAAATTAAACGAGAAAAAACATGCATATATGTAAACTTGAAGTGGTATTTCATGCTAGATCAGTGTATCTTCAATTCATTTTGTTTGTTTTGTGTAATTATTTCGACTAATGAACCGTTTGGAGGTCGTGATGATGGAGTTAACGTCCAATCATGCAATAGTTCTGCTATGTAATTAAGCGATGTCCATCTGGAATATTTGGCAATAATTCAGATTTTGATTTTTGCAAGTATAACTTACTGACAAAGAAATTAAAGCTAAAAATATAACTTCATAATAATCATAAGACATGCATTTTATGGCGGCATGCTTTATGATTTTAGACAACAATCAATACGATTATTGATTGTTTTCTCATGCTTTCAGCTGCTATTCTTTACAGCTAAACCACAATATCAGCACATAACTCTTTCAGTTTTACTAAACTTAAATATCTTTCATTTCGGGTTTTAATTCGGAAATCCATATTAATTAAAATTCGAAAATATGAACTACTTGTAACTAATATAATTATCTTTGAAACCTACGAATCAGTGTTCGCTTTTGGCATCCATTTGCGATTCTGTGCAGTATCTAGCATTGTTGGCAAAAGAGCAACAACGGTAGATTCATCGGGCATTCCAGATTTTTTAGGAGCAAGACTTTTAGTCAATTGATGTACTGCTGCCTTTGCTATACCATATCCCAACATTTCTGATGTATCTTTCAACACCTATAAATGTGAAATTTTCAGATTTCAAAATTAAATTGAATGAAGTTAGAAAGTTTAAGCTGGAGTTTGATTGATCGGTATGAGTTCAATCTTATTTGCAAACATCTAAGATCTTATTCATTACCAAATTGTATTCGACATCGTGTTTGACAGGAATTTTTTCCTTTTCTATTGTGGACAAATGAAAAAGCTTACCGATGCTGCACCAGTGAATTGGAGAAGACCGCCATTTTTCAAATACAACACAGCAATTCGAGCAGATATAGTGGATGTCCAAACATTCTGTTTCCATAGGATTTCCGAATTTTTAATCATATTTTCACTATTAACTTTACCACCAGCCCAGCCACCTGCTACACACAATACTGCATCCAGACGTTCACCATTTAGTGTTTCACCGACACTAAATAGCCTCATACTTTGCAAATATTGATACTGATTGTCATCACGAGGGTAACTTACAAAATGGCATCAGAATGATAATGGACTACTTTTATCAGTCAAATTTTCTTCTATCATGAAGTATTCACAGCTCACTTGAAACAAAAAATTGTAAAAAAAATTGCAAAAAACTGCAAGAATTCTTTTCTAAAAATTAAAACCAATAAGTACAGTTTAGATTTACGATTTGAGAATCAAATCTTCCTGTTCTGTCCACGAAAAATCCTTGTTTACCACCACATTTGCATCAGCCACTTCATTCTTTATAATGTCTATACTTAACGTCCACTGTAATAATTTAAATTTATTATAATTTAATTCGTCTTGTTATGCTTCTTGCAGCAAACATAAGTCCACACATTCCTAATTCTTATTATTATTGAATGATTAAACAGTTCTGATGTATCCTGTAGATTAATCCTCATATTCATAATTTATGAAATACTAAAAAAATTTCTTATTTGAAACACAATCTAAATAGATTTCTATATTCTGAAATTATTTAAAAAATTCATAAAAAAGTTTGAAGTAGATAACTTACAAAGTTTTTACTTTTGAAATAATCAACAATTACTGAACCAAGTCCTCCTCGACCGCCGTAAACAGCAACACGATTTGTTGACATTGAGATTAATTCTAATAGCTTCCAAATTAATGCGTACAAAAACAAATACTGCCGATCACCAATCCTCATAAAGTGAATCAATAGTTGAAATTGGAAATAAGTAATAAGAACAAAGTGAAAAATCAAGAACTCGAACTTAATATATCACAGCAAACTAATTGCTAATATTTGACACAAATTAAGCTTGAAACTGTATTTCTTTCTGTTTCATGCTTTTTCACTATTTCTTTCATAATACCAAGAAAAAAAACACCAAATATAGCATTCCACACCCGGTACTTAATTCCCGATAAGTAAATTCAAAGAAAAGAACACTAATTTTTGTTTTAAAACAAGAAAAAGCGTTGTCTCTCAACTTCCAATTCTTATTTCGACATAAAGGTCATTATATGAGACATTTGTGCAACAAATATATGGAAATAATCGTATAGCACTTCCACTTCAGGAAGTAAGGAATGCAGTGGTGCGGTGTTCCGATAAACAATAATTACTTTCCTGTTCTAAAAAAAGAATCGATAATTTCATATTTCTGCTAGATTAGTGATTCTTTATCAGTTACTCACGAAATATTCACTCAATATATCGAATAAAAAAGCAACTGTAATTAAACTAATTGATAATTAATTAGTAGCAGTGAGAATTGAATACATGCAATGAACAGAAATTACAAGCGTAAGCCTGAGCATTATATCCTCCATTTAGTGATCTTGAAACATGCTATAAATCCATTATTATTGCAGATAACAGGTGTACGCTATCATATTGCTAACATATTTATTGTTAATTAAATTTCTAAGTATCTAATGATTTGAATTAGAGATTGCAATCAAACACTAGCACTTCTAAATATGCTCCAGCAAAGTGATCCTCAGTCATTTATTATCAAATTTTCCAAAAATCACATATATATAAACGAATAAGCACATCCCAGCAATCGAATATTCACCAATTAATTACCTTATCATTCCTTTATTTTTACATGATAACGTATAATTAATCTTTATTTTGGCGTTATTTCATATTCCCATGAGTCCAGCAGGTGGTATGTCTGTATTTAAGTTTAACTATTCCACTTTATGAAAAAAATAACAGACTCTTAAGTTTCACATAAAGCCTTTACAAGTGGTATATTGAAACATGATAAATCATGCAAACATCAATTTAATCAGTAACGTCATATAACATGTAAAACACTTCCAATGCAATTACTCTGCTGCGACTTGAGGTTTCTCCCGCTATATGGTTTTCTCGGAGCGAAACTGCTAAACAAATCCTTGATATTTTTTTCCAAGCTGATATACCAAAGAAACAGCCCAAGAAAAAGATATATTAAAGAAAAATGTACAGCTGCTCTCAATTCAATTCGTTTTGTGAATAACATTCTAGGAAGGATCATCATCTGAATCTTCTAGTTCCAAATTTCCAGCACCTATTTGCAAGATCAGTAACTGTGCTTCCAGCTCTACTTCTTCCAGGTCCAACTGGAAATCACTTTTTTTTAAAATTAAATGATTCAACTCGCATTGTAACCAAGAGAGAATGTCATCCGAGACACACTGAATCCATAAACAATAATCAGTTATAAATAAGTCATTTAACAGATAACGATAATCGCCGCTCGTTGATAAAATTATATGGACATCCACCAAACACTGTAGCAGCGACACCTTACCTGTAAAGAAAAATATGCATTTTCTAATTTTATTAATTCTTTTAAAACAAAATTTTACTACCACTGTAACAGGTATATAAGACACTTGATGCTTAGGGGACGTTAATTAAAATGTTGCTTCGAACCCTTTAGATTCAGAAATAAAATTCTCAAATTTACCTTTGCTGAAGAGAAATTTCAAATCGTCTAAAACTTTCATAGATAAATTCCAATGCCGATAAAGCGGGAAACATAACGATCTTCTAACAGCACCTATAATGGATTCTTTCGCTGTCCTCCACCTGACCAAATAACTGAGAGTAGGACTCAATTTTGCAATCGTCCAACCTTAAAAAAAAATACAAAACTAAAAAAGAAAAGAAAATGGATGAATCAATTTTCTATGAAAGAACAACTATCAATGCAAAAGAAAGAAATTAAGCAAGTCCAAGAGATACTGTAAACTGTGCACCGAACATAAAAATTAAAACGAAAGAAAAAATGGTTCAGATTTTATGTATTTATCATACAAAATAGACTTATGAGTGCCTTCCAATCCGGCAGATAATCAACCGATATAAACAAAAACACCAAAACAAATGCATCATGCATTGTTCTTTTCGTTCAGCTCAATACAGATTTATTTTTTTTTATTGTGCATCTACTGAATCAATGTAAAAGTCCATAATCAAATATATTTTAGATAATTTAAATGAAATGATTCGAAACAAACCAGATTCTGAAGAATGTTCCCCACATGTTGTTCTTACATCATATAAATAAGCAAAAAGGATATCTATCAGAGACAATGCAATCGATTTTTCTAAATCCGAAGAATACTTAGGAAACAATTTTTTTGGTAAATCCTTCAAATGATCACGACTTTTGAACGATAAATCAAACATAGTTTCAGGATATTCAAATTGTAAACATTCATCCAGTGAAGGATTCTTCTCGAACAAGTCAACACTGAAAAATTTATCTCATTGATGATAAGCAAGTTTAGAAATAAGCATAAAACGTTGCTTAGAAAAAACGAAGAACATACTAACTACAGAAAGGCAATCTCAACTTTGATTTAAATTCCAACATATAAAACATACATATAATACTCGGCATCGAACTTCAACTGATCATGCTTTAAACAATCCATAACTCTTTCATCGATCAATGAACATTCAGGATTTTCCAGATCTAAAAGATTATCGATTTCTGCACTAAACTTTCCAATAATACCGTGACGACTGCAAGCAAAACCATAACCGTAGAGTTTACATTCTTCGTCCATAGAATCATCAACCATGTCGCTATCTAATATTTGGGAAGTTTGCGGTTCATTTGAGAAAATAGATAAAATATCTGCAAAATGTTCAATAACAATTTTTGCTATGTACCTTAAGCTAATGCATAACGTTCAAGATGATAGAAGCTTAGATGATAGTCATTGATATGGATGCAATAAGCATCAGTTCATAAGAATTCGATCAATCTGGTAATGGAGAAAATATATAAAATAATACCGCCATCTTCGCCAATTTCTTCCACTAATCGTTTTGCATGAATATCTGATGGTTTCAATAATTTATTCACTAAATTCAAATTAGGAAAGAATTCACCAACATTCTTTTTTAGCGCTTTGAATGTAAATGATCCTGAAATGAACGTGGTGAAGAAATTTAAAAAGAACAAGATTATTTAATCAACAAAACGCTTAGAGAATGATCGGCAATTATTTAAAATGAATTATAAGAAAATTTTATACAAAGAAAACAAATTTCGTACAATAATATGAAAGGAACACTTGTTTTCATTTAATTATTAATTATGTGATGTATCTAAGAAATATATTACATGGCGATATTCACATAGAACTGTAATACAATAAATGAATTAGACAAGACAAAGAAATAAAAACTAAGAATCTTAGAGACAAAAAATACATGAACTTATAAATTCACTCATATCATGCCATACTCTAAACCATTTAGTTACCAATCAAACCACACACAGAATCAAAATTATCTAACAAAATTTAACTTTTTGAAAACATCTACTTACCTTTATCACAGTCATATGTACCCGAGATATTTTCTTCAGCTAATTCACCGGGTAAATACAACTTCAAGAAATATGGTTTCGAAGTGAAAAAGAATTGTAGATCGCAATACTCGGCTTCAGTATCTTTCACATTTGCGTATGGTGCATGAATATGGATGATAACATATTCCGGAGTTTGATCTATATGGAATACTGGTGTCAACATTTCTGAAAACTGCAATTTATATGATTACCAATAAGTTAGAAACAAATGTGAAGCTGAAATTAAAATTGCTTCAATTCCATTACTTGAATTTCACTTCACACTTCAAAAAAAAAAAAGTCCTCATAAAGCAAAAACACGTAATTATTGCCAGGCAGATGCAATGAAGTTCCATTTACCGGGTGATGTTTAACTGTCCTTATTCATCGGCTGTTCAAAGAAACCGGAATGGTTTGTACAAATCTTCCGTGGTGACACAATTGTGCTTCGTAACGTCATCATCTCAGTAAACCCATTAATCATTATGCCTGTACAATTTAAGAGTCTCGACATGATCTCAACTTATATGTGATTGATGAAGAACGACGTAACAGTTACTAAACGATATGACTGGTCGTTTTCTCTTTAAACTATTTCAAATACATCTAAGAATTATTTCTATTTCATATTGTTTCAGAACGTGAAACAGAAATCTTCTAAATATTGTGCGGTAATAGTATTGGTTTTTAAAGAGAAGCAAAGATTGAAAAGGTTTGAGGTTTAAGATTAAGAGGAATGCGAAAATATGTTTTATGGAAGTTTTAATTCATGAATAAGTTTATTTTTCTTTACCATCTGAAAATGGCGAGTTAATGGTTTTCTGTTGAACGCGTGAATTATTATCGTTATACAGAAGAAAGTATTTAACAGACACTTATAGAGTAACGTACGCGAGCAATTTCTCAAAAGAGAGAGAAACGAATATTAGTGAAATTGCATGTATATTTCAGCTTCGTTCAATTGATGGCATTGCGCAAAGTGCGCAGTAATTTGGATCGTTTTTTTGATAAAAGTTTGACAGACTTGATCCGTGGGATCCGAAACAACAAGGAAAATGAGGTTAGTGTTAGCTATTGTCTTTAGTAGTGATGACAATTTATTTATAAGTAGTAATAACAAAACATGAAGGAATTACAGAACCATCTTCGGTCAATTATGTTGTACGTTTAGGCCCGGTACATCGCAGCATGTATTCATGAAATCAAGATGGAGCTCAGACAGGATTCTGTGTTTGTTAAGGCAAATGCGATCGAAAAACTTGCTTATGTATGTTCTTATGCATCGTTGTAACTCATATTTTGAAGCTGATAGTATAGAAGAAATTCCACGAAAGAATTTTCCTAAGGAAATTAGAATTAGGAGAACATTTCGAAAAAATCTCAGCAATATACCATCTCCTGTGTAATATATATTTAAGTCATCATATAATGAGCTGATGAACGAACCATGTCGAAAATTGCTCCAAGACCTCTTCTGAAATCTATAAGCTGTTATTTATTTACACATTATAATTGAACAGCTTAATGTGTTTGGTTATTCGAAACAAATGATAGTAGTAATGTGTAAAGGTAAAATGTATGTTATTCACTGCTGGAATACTTTGTTATTTAAGACAGTTATGTGTTATTAAATACAATAAGATATAAGTAGTTTCAGTTGCAAATGATGGGATATGACATATCATGGGCATCATTCAATATTATTGAAGTGATGGCGTCAACGAAATTTACCGAGAAGCGAATCGGGTGAGTTTCACCACAATAATTGAAAATTTAACAGAAATTAGAAAGCGGTTTATTTCTTACTTAATTCGACACTTTAATTATCAACAAAAAAATTTTGCGAACGAATCTTGCTTGGTCATATGGAATACTTCGAAATTTGGAACTTGTTTTATTCCTTGTTAAGCAATTTTTTGTCATAATCAGAGTAAAGTCACAACATCAACATTTTTTTGGACAAAAATGGAGAAAGTGCATTTAGTACATCCATTTGGCTCTAACTTTTTTAAGTTCTATACGTTTCTTATATAACCAGAGTGCCAATCAGTTGAGATTAATTTTTTTTTTGTTTTCAGCTATATGGCGGCGTCCCAGTGCTTCCATGATGGTACCGACGTTTTGATGCTAACCACCAATTTAATACGGAAAGATTTACACAGTGCTGTAATGTATGAGACGGGTATAGCACTGGGAGCATTTTCATGTTTTGTTACGCCTGATTTGGCTCGAGATCTCACTGGTGATGTTGTGAATCTTGTATGTTAACATTATCAACATTTAAGAGTGTTTTCTGTGGAATACTGTTCTATTTCAAATTTAAGAAATGTGACAAATTTTTGAGGGATATCGAAGTGATGTGCTATCTGGCTTTATATTTTAATATTTAGTGCTTTTTATACTTTAGTACTAGCAGTTTAAGGTAGGAACTGGATCATTGAAGTAACTTAAAGCATAAGTTTCATTTTATCACTTACCAATGAAGTTTATGAACCACTGTTTGTTTCAGCTCTCTTCTAGTCGACCGTATGTACGCAAAAGATGTATATTGTTATTGTACAAAATTTTCCTGAAATATCCAGACTCTCTAAGGCCTACTTTTTCACGACTGAAAGAAAAGCTAGAAGACCCAGATCCAGGTATTATATTAATCTTAACTACTGTGAATAAAAATTATCTAAAATAAAAATTAATCTTAACTACTATGAATAAAAATTATCGATTTTATCACACTGAGTTACTAACTTTTTCAGGTGTACAAAGTGCTGCAGTGAATGTTATTTGTGAGTTGGCTCGAAAAAATCCTAAAAATTATCTGACTTTGGCCCCAGTATTTTTTAGGTTAATGACAACCTCATCAAATAATTGGATGTTGATTAAAATTATCAAACTGGTAAGTTAATATGTAATCATATTGGTTTGTGGTGTTCGCTCTAAATAACAGCCTGATAAGCTTTGAATCAACATAGTTGTTTAATTGCCATTTTTTTTTCTTTACTTTTTTTCAAAACAATAATTAAATCCCAATGGAGGAAAGAATTTCATATAGTAACAGTTGTTTTTCGTAGTTTGGTGCACTGGTACCACTGGAGCCTCGTCTTGGCAAAAAATTGTTGGAGCCGCTGACTAATTTAATCAATAGGTATTGTTTACATTTTTAATTGCTCTCTATTATATTTTTTTTGGATATGTGAACTGTTTTGTGATTAGTTACCATTTTCTGAAAAACATATATCACTTTTACAGTGACAATTTTCAGCACATCGGCGATGTCACTACTGTATGAATGTATCAACACAGTCATTGCGGGTTCGCTATTTTAATATTTTAGGACATAAATTTGAAAAATATTAATTTAAAAGAATTGGATATGCGGATGCATAAAAACGGAAATATATTAAGTTACTTCAACAGTAATTTTCGAATTAAGACTTTAGAATTCATTTTCCAAGTTGACATCTTTTTTTTGCGTGATCCCAGAATATTGATATTTCCTTGAAGTTTTCAATTCATTTACTTTACATCTATCAATAAACAAGCATATTTATCTTTCAGTATTAATAAGTATTTCTTCCGGTGTACCTGGTGATCATACTGCCAGCATACAGGTACAACATTTGAAAGTTTGAATTAAATTCCTAGTGAAATAAGTTTTATTTATCTTAAATCATTAATTATATCCATTTGAAATTTAGATGAAAATATGTGCTTGAATACAGCAAAGGAAGAACAGTTTTATATGAAATTTATATGGAAGTGATAGGCCTTTATAAATATTGATATAAGCAAAATTTGCAGGAGATTAACGGCAAGACAATTCTCTCAATCAATACTTCTTATTATTATTGTTTTTTGAGCTCTTGCATTTTACAGCTTTGTGTACAGAAATTGGGCGTACTAATTGAAGATTCTGATCAAAACTTGAAATATCTTGGTTTACTTGCGATGGGAAAAATTTTGCAAACACACCCTAAAGCAGTACAGGCTCACAAAGATATAGTTTTGCGATGCTTGGATGACAGAGATGAAAGTATTCGCCTAAGGTTTTTCCTTTACTTTGTTTTCCATCCAATTTATGTAGGATTCAAACATCATAAGCATATTTGTAACTTATATTATTGTTCAAATATGATTCATGCAGTCTTTTGCAATGGGATGGATTCTGCGATCAGTGATGTACAAAGATTATTATTTGCATGTCATTTCATCATGGCATATCTTGCATTGGTTGAAAGAGATAGCTTTTAAGAGCGTTAGATCTTCTTTATGGAATGGTATCCAAACGAAATATCATGGAAATTGTGCGAAAACTAATGGATCATGTTGATGCTGCGGAAGGATCGTATTATCGTGATGAGTTGCTCTCAAGAATTATCGCAATTTGTTCGTACAATAATTATCAATATATTACAAATTTTGAATGGTAATGATTATTTTGTTAATTCCCATTTGAAACATTTCAGTTGAAAAAAATTTTTGTGTACTGCAACTTTCAGCAGAAAACTTTGAGAAAGATTTGTCACCAAAAAAAATTTGTATAAGTCAGTAAGCATATATGACAAACATATCAGAACTTTTATGCTTATGAGATTATGTCTTCTAGCTTTTACTACTTTTTGTCTTAAATTTATGGCATTGATTAGGAATATGTATACTGATATTTGGCTGATGACTGGTGATTCATCCTGAGACATTTAAAAATTACTTTGTTCGGTCTTGATTCGGTTTAGTAGCTATTCGTAGATGTAGCTGAGTTGTAGGAATAGCTATTCTTTGATTATGGTTTTTGGGATTTAATATTCTGTATGATAATTTAAGTTGCCGATTTTGCAGGTATATCTCAGTTTTAGTAGAATTAACGAAAGTGGAAGGTACAAAACACGGCACAGTGATAGCTGAGCAGGTTTTTTTAATTAACCATTTATGATCGTATTTTTTTTTAATGTTGATTTTCTTCAAATTCAAAAATTTTGACCGATGATGATGAATTTGCACAATTCTGCAAGTTATATTGAAGACTGATGATCGATGCTGAGGTCACTGACATAATTTCGGCAATTTTTTTAAAATAAAAAAGATAATTACCTCTCTAAATATTACATATTAATTGAGAATTGTAGTAGAACAAAACACAGTGTGCCAGCATACTGCAGAAAATTTCTCGATTGTGTGATTTTTTTTTATTCCCAAAACTTTTTATTGAAACTTTTTCTCTGGCATATTGATGATTTAGGATTCTCAAAATTAAATATAATTTGCTGTAGATGCTTGACGTATCAGTACGCGTTCAGTCGATAAGACATTTTTCTGTATCTCAAATGGCTTTACTTGTTGAAAATGCCCATCTCCTGCTTGCCGGCAGTGCACAGCATCGCAGCAATATGTGCGAAGTGTTGCTAGCTGCAGCGTGGATTTGTGGTGAATACTGCGAGTAAGCTTAATGAATTATGAGGTTCTGTTAAAAGCAAGCAGAATAAACTTACTGTTACATCATTAATCAGTAATATTCTGTGCAGTATCTTATAAATGTCAAAAAAGACATGGACTTTTCCATTTGACAAAAAATAATTAAATTTATTGATATTTTGCTGTTTTAAGGCATCTTTGTAACGTTCAAGGTGTATTGGAAGCCATGCTCAAGGCCAAAATATCTATGATGCCAGGACATATATTGAGCGTTTACATGCAAAATATTGCCAAGCTTTACGCTGTGCTTCTTGTAAGAGTTGAAGCGGAGAATGATTGGGATGGAATCGATAGTCTGGACAATTTAATATTATCTAAATTACCTGTATTTATTTTAGCTGATCATCTCGAGGCACAAGAACGAGTAAGTTCGTGAAATTTTATCACAGCACTTCTTATTCCAAAAATTGTTCTTGGTCAAATTTAACAGAAAGAGTGATCGTCCTGACGATTGAAGAAATACCTTTGTGATGCCGAAATCATTCCATGGTTTTTCCTTTCTGATGAGATAGGACGTTCCTTTCTAAATTTTCCTCTCAAGTAACTTTCTAATGCTGGTAATTTTTTTAGGCATGCACACTCTTAGCTGTGTTGAAGATAATAGAACGTTTCCACTCTAATCATGAAAAAGTCGGTGAAGATTTTGCAAAGCTTTTCGAAGGTGAATTAAACCCGGTTGCTGTGAAAGCACAAAAAAAAGTACCGGTTCCTGAAGGGTTTGTCTCAGATTTTTTTTAGCTTTTTATATTTTTGTCTTTGAGAATTTCAAAATTTTCTAGACTTATAACCTACTTTTTTTAATGAAACATAGTCTCGAATACTACGAGCATTGCAGATTAGATCTGGATGCTTGGATACACAAACCAGATTTAGAAGATGAAGCTAGTGAACCTGAAAATGAAGGTGCTTTTGGAAACTCGGTACTGCGTTCAGAGTTTGCAGGTTTTGGTGGTCCACCCAGGTACAGTAGTGATGAGGATCGTGATTATGGAAAAAAGTTATCGAAAACAAAAGAAAAGAAGAACGAGCTTAGTGAAGAGGAACTACAAAAAGTATGCTTACTCAGTTTTTTTAATGATTAACTTATAGAGTATATTTCACTGGAAAGGACATGCTATTCTTACAATCTGTGATAATACTCAGCATTGTAGCTATTTATGTAAATATTTTAACATGAATTGAAGTTTCTATTTTTTTCAATAATTATTCAGAAATTCAGATATTAATAATTATTTTTAGTCAGAATTTTGAGAATCATTTGATGTAGCATATGAGTTTGAAGTCAGGCTGTTATCTCAAGTTGAAGTACATTCTATACCGATAGGAAATAATCTGTAAAAAAGTGAAACACATTTGAATCTGTTTAGATGAATCAAAGATTATAAATGATCTAGATGGTTGTTTTTCTAAATAAGTTTTATTCTAAATAACTTTGTTGGAAGATTTATGAAACAAATAACGGGCCCAAATTTACTATTGGATGTTTAATATTTTAAATCTGATCATCTCTATAAGTGTATAGTAAATTCAGCGTCTCAAACAACGGCAAGCTGAAATTGAGAATAATCCCTACTACATGAAAGGAGAAATAAAAAATAATGCTTCCAAACGATTAGTACGAACTCCGCTTGGTACGGTAGAAAAGTCTGGGTCGACTCCTGATTTGCAGAGTCCTTTAGAAATACCTGGTAAGCTTTTATTCTCAGTTTGTTTAGAAGATTTATAAAACAAATAATTCATGTTCCATAGCTTTTTGTTAGTTGAAGTGTGCGTGAATCTTTGTTGCAGGAGTGGTTGGACTCAACAAATACATGGAGCAGCAGCAATCGACGCTGTCATGGAAAACTGCAAAGAAAGAAAAAAAGAAAGTTAAAGAAAAAAAAAATAAAGTTGGTAAAGAAATAAGTTCTAGTGATGATGATGATATCCCGGTGATCCATCAGGTGCGTTTCGTACATGTCGAAATTATCACAGTCCTTTAATAAACATTAATTTTGTTTACATAGGTAGTTGTATCAATCAATTTTCACAAAATTATCAAAGTTTTTCAAAAATTCATTTTATTTAGATTCAAAATTAGCTCGCATATTCCTCATAACATGTTGACAGGTATAAAGTTAGATTTCATGAAAGTGCTCAAAATTTTTTATTCTAAATCTGCTTTCTTAGGTGAACAGAGAAGAAGGTGAGATGCCTGAGAATGCTAAGTCAACTGATGAAGAAGAAGCCACTGGAAATGAAGTTCGTCGTATTTTTTAGATTTAAACTTAATTCATTTTGGATTACTTTAAATATTAAAGTTTCTTTCACAATTTTTAGAAAAAATTCCTTCTTGTTAAATTTAGTAAGAAGCCAAATAATATAGATTCAATTGCAGTGGTTTGTAAAAAAAAGTAGATATTCAGAATGAAATGGAAGAAATTTATAAAGCATTGGATGTTAACTTGGAAGAACCTTTGAAAACAGATGAACAAATGGAAGTATCGCATATTCAGCCACGACCATATGTGTTGGATTTATTTGGATATTCGCGAACAGAAGCTGCCAAGAGTGCTGATGCTCTTCAGTCTTACAATAATACATCATCGTTGGAACGAAGCGAAAAGAAGAAAAAAAAAGTGAGAAAAGCGGGGAATAAAGGTCATAGGGAAAAGTGAGTTAAAATATTTCATTGTGTTTAAAAGTTATAGAAATTTTCAATAAACATCAAATCATCTGAATTATAAATTCGCTCAGAAGAGAATCAAGGAGGAAAGATTTGAATGGTTCGGGTGCTTATCAAAGTGATGCGGTCTGCACCGAAAGATGGCTAAATAATATGGAAGCCGAGAATACTGCTACGAAAGTTTTGAAGAAAAGTTCAAAAAGCTCTGTAAAGGTATATTATTTATTCAGTTAATCATTCAGTTGAACTATATACTATTTTCGGGGTGATAGAAATAACTCGACTAATAATCCTTTTGGGAAGCCATTGCCTCTTATCTTTACTGTATCATATTAGTAAGTATTAAAAATTACTTTTACATTTGGAGGTGTTAAGTATTGCATATTTTTTTGTTAGTTTTTGCTGGACTATATCTCGGACTTTTTATTCTGTTCAAAGAGTTGTTTATTATTATGTATAATTTTATAAAATTTTAGAAAAATGATTCAAAAACTGGGAATGGAAAAAAGAAGAGGAACGTTATTGAAGAACCAATTGATAAGGATGTCTATGAAGTAGGTTTTGATGAGTTCAGCTAATAGTTACAATGTAATGAAATTTTGCTTTTTAATGCCTCCTCTGTTTCCTGTATTGAGATAAAGAGATTTTATTGTTCGTTGTATATAAAATGTGGAAGAGGTCCAGCATCCAAACTTGATCAAAAAGCATCCAAACCGTATGAAATAGTGGTTTAGTTAGACAGGCTAAAATCGTATTCATTTAGTTTGGTTTTCATATACAGTTACAGGTGTTTAAATGTATGAAATGAGAATATATTTGGATAATAATAGAAACAACAAAATTTCAGGCAGCTTCAGGTATTTGTACCCCAAGCAATCCTAATTTGCATTTCGGTTCGAGTTCATCGAATGGAGCCTTAACACCACATGAAGATTCTTCTTTACATCATGCCACAGATCAAATAGCAAATTTGCGACTGAGTTCTTACAGAATATTAGGTGAAACAGAGGACTTGAAATTGGTTAATACTCCAATTACTATTGTTTGCATACTATAATATAACCGATCAGTAAGCGAACGGAATGATTTAATATTTAGTTATGAGAAACGTCTAAGGAATGGTTTAATATTTAGATATTTTTATAACAGGTTTATGTAAGTCCCATTCGACGTTTATGTGCTACCTTTGCTTATTAAAATGATTTCTAATATAAAATTATGAAGTTCCTTTTTTTCCTTTTTTCATCACTTGTTGATAATTAATATTATATGGTCGCGATTTTTAGTAGACGACAAATTCTATTTATACATGAGGTGCTGAAATCTCTGACAAAAGTCATCTTGTTATATTAGTAAAGATTCCAGCAATTTTTTCAAAATAATGTTTTTAGAGCTACGAAACTCGAGTATCAACCGACGATGCAAATCAAATTGCGATTGGAATTGTATTTTTAAATAAAGGACAGGGTACATTACGTCATCTGGAAATGAATCTGTTGGATACGATCAATACGCGTTTATTACGTGAGGAGGGCAAGTCATCCATGGTAATATTTTTTATAATATTAATTTAAGCAATGTTAAGATAATGTGTAAATATTGGAGAAAGAGGGAATTGGTTAGAGAAACTTAATAATGCATAATGTCTGTTTGAAAAAGTATTTTGTTTTCCATTTTCCTTAAAAAGGGATTTTAACTACACATACATATTTTGGAATTAGTGCAAAGTTTGATAGTGTTCATATCAACATCTTGGTTCAGTTTTATATAATGTAATTGGGAAATTTGAACGACCTTTTTTGTGACAATAACTTAATAACTTAATAAGTTAAATACGCAGATATGCTCTTCTAAGCTTTTTTAAATGTGCGTTCTAATTCCCAACACAACAAACTTTGCATTGCAGATTATGTAGATTAGTGAAAAGACCTCGAAACATGTAAACAAAATGAATGTAATAATTTAATCAAGAAATGCAATTTCAGGCTGGAATTCCACTATCATTCCAACTTCCCGCCGGCGTTTCCGCTGAGCATGTTTTCAGATTTTCAGTGAAAGCAATCAATATGCCACAGAAATTGAGAGGCAATTTAACATTCTTCGTTGATGTAAGTGTTCATAATTAAATTTTAAATTCTCTTTTCAGTGAGAATATATCAGCATTCTGCAAGAATTAATCAAAATGCATTGCTCTGTATAGTTAGTGAAGCTGTAATTATTTAACAGCTCATTGATCGATTAACTGATTGACCAATTATTTTGCTTATAGCGTAAGAGCGGAACTATTCAAGACAAGCTAGATTTTCATATTCTGCTGCCAGCGGTATCCTTCCTTGTGCCTGCCACCATTACAAGGTATGTATTTCGTGAAGAATCAGAGGTAATAAAGAATACAGTGTTCTAATCCTTCTTAGATCAGAAATTGTTTATTAATTTGACATCTTCATTACTTATAAAAAAGACTCAAGTTTTGAGATTTTCTTTTGAAATAAATTAAAATAGAAAATATAATTTTATCCTTTTTTCCAGGTATTCGGTGTGCTAGACAGTTCATGATTTATTTTTTTTTTATTGTTTTTTAGTTTCAGAATTGAACTATCAATTTTATAAGCTAGAATGGAAAATTTACATATGGATATTTTCAGTGAGTCTTATGATGTGTTATTGAGTTCGAATGATATGGGATATAAATCATCTGTACAACTAACTACCAGCCTTCCGTGGAACTCACTGTTGAAGAAAATTTGCTTCTTTGCTCATTTTAATGGTAGTTTTTGCTTTATGCGAATAATTTATTTTTGTACTTCATGTACTTGCATGTTATTCCTCTACTGTTTGTCTTCGTTGTCTCAAGATCTTTTATCATCTACAACTAATTAGTAAAATATGGCTTACACTGAAGGTAAGCATCTATTGATATTCCAGTGATTTGGAATTTATTCATCAAATTAATCTTCTTAATACACTCATCGGTTGAATGTTCATAAATTTAAGGAAGCATATTAGCAATATCTTTATGGTGGAAATATAATGGGAAATATATTTATAATATAAATATGCCCAAATATTTTTGAGAGGTCCTGATTTAATTGATTTTTCGATTTCTACATTTAAGAATGAAGTTTATTGAGTCAGTTAAATTAAATTTATTTAGCATTTTTTTGCAGTGGTTAAACAGAATGATACAGCAGCAGCACTCTATGCTCACACTATAAAGGCTGAATCAATTTGTATTCTGATCAAACAACGGGTACCTGATTATTTCCTATTTATAAAAACTTTGTTGATATGTATGCTTGTATTTTCATGCAGTTTAATTTGCTTCACTCTTAAACTTATTTTACTCATGAAAAAACAAGTTTCTGGAATTAGAAGACAAGATTTTCTTATTAAATTTTCATAGTTCCACTTCAAAATTTCCATCTTGATAAAAATGTTTTGAATTTTTATGCTTTTACAAGCGCTAAACCACTCATGGATTTGGAATATTAAATCTCTTATATGATATTAAAAGAGAAACATTGAGGAAGAGGAATGATGGAGAAAATAAGGTCTTTTATGACGAGTTAATTTTTTGAAATCATTTCGTAAATTGTCTTTTTCAGGGTGACAAAATTCAAATCGACGGTCGTTGTGGTGATCAGCAATTGATTTATGCAATTGTCGATGAATTACGCGACATAGTTTCTTCCTGAATGAGACTATAAATGTTGTGTTACGTTTATCTGTTTACTACCACTAGCAATTATATATTTTGTTGGATATTGAGAAATAATTTCTCAATAAGATGCTCTGTTGAAGGAAGAAATGTTTCATTTTGTTGCATTATTCCCTTTTGTGCCATTCAGCTGCAGTAAAGGAAGGGAACATCGAAAAAGTGTGCAAATATTTTATTCTTCACTCTTTCCAACCAGGCACAAAATTGTTAATGATGGAAAATTATCGCATCATTAATTAACTAAACCCCATTGAATGCTCTGTTTCTTCACTTTGTGAATATCTTTTTTTAAGTCATGCTAGAGATGTTATATTTCCAGTTTGTGACTGAACTACTTGTAATCTTTTCTAAGAAAAAAAGTTAATTTTTTAAAAGCTTTTGAGATTTCACTTCTCTTGAACAAAAAACATGTGAGATTTGTCTACTGTTGTTTCACTGATGATGACAGCTTTTTTGGTTCAAATTTCAAAACACTAGAGAATCTTTTATATTCATGATTCACTAAAGTGGGTCAACAAGAAGGGTAACACTGTAGACATATTTCAAAAATTTTGTTGTCTAAAGATACGTTTCGTAGATAGGAGTTTCTTCTTTTCTAACTATTCGTACAATCTTGCTTTATTTTCTTTCATTTTGCTATGCTCTATGATTTATATTATTTCGACAGTTTTTATCGTTTTTTATCGTTTTAATGACTTATTTTATTAAGCTCTATGCGCATCTCTTTCTCATTTTTCATCTCTTAGCATTAGTTTTTATATGGTTAAGATCACTTATCACTGATTCTCTTCTGATTTGTGATTTGTGATCGATGATTAGATACTCTTCTTGTGCTACTTATTACGCTTAATTTATTTTGCGCCATATTCAAGCTGATATTATAGCATTTCTGTAAGTAATTTCTTTGAAAGCTTCGAAATAATTCTTTAACATATTCGGAATTACATTAGGTCATTCCAAGTTTTTTCTCGATGCTTTTATATTCTCCTCACGCAAATCCTTCTTCCCTATCTTGAGTTTAAAGCATTTCGATAAACTTTCATCATGAGATCGATAATCATTTTAATGTTCTAAAATCATTAATCATATTTTTATTTTGATTGGAAATGAGTGATATGAATTCATCGTAGTTTTTGAAATTTGAGCTTTCCATTGACTATTTCCCTTCAAAAGAAATATTAGTTGTATAGAAAAGGTGATTTATGCTAGTTGGAATGTCATATTTCTTCAAAGGAAATACTATTTTAGTTTTATAGAAAACGTGATTTACGCTGTAATAAAACGATGATTTATGCTAGTCGGAATTTCTCTTTGTTCTTCAATTATAAATTCTCGATTTATGATATCATTTTTGTTTGTGGATAGAGAGAAATGGTAGGTATTATTATCTATAATATTTATTGAATGACTGAAGGAATTTGAAGAAGTTAGCTTTTTCGATTCATTTCCGTTCGGATTTGTCGGATACTGTTCTGAGAATGGAATTTGTGATTTTTTTTTTTGATTTTGATAATTTTACATCCTTGAAATGTTTCCATCATTTATTCATTTTTTGATGTATTATATATCAATCATTAAATTTTAATGTATCAATGTTGTGATAGTATCAATCATATATCATCATAAATTATGTATTTCCAAAATTTTTAAGCACTTTGCAATTTATGGAAAATAACAGATTTATACACTTAATTCATATGCTATTTTTTGTTCAACGTATTACAGTGTATATTGGAAATGGATTTGAAACAAATGGTAAAATAACTGGGGAAAATTTTTTCCCTCTACATTGGAAACGGATTTGAAACAAAAAGTAAAATAACTGGAAAGTTGAATTTACCAAATAATCAATCGAATGTTAAAAATTTATGTCACGTCTTTAGTGCTTTTCCTGCAAATACAATAGCTTTTCAACTATTGATTGAATGATTGTAGCAATTTGTTATGATCCGATGTATCTTATTGTTAATCACTATGATAATATAGCAAAGAACTGAAACCGGTAAAATGAGAAAAAAAAAACAAGTAACAGAACTTATAAAAATTAAGCAAAATGAAATGACACCATAAGCAGGAAAACTCCTCCAAATCCATAAAGCTTTGCTCAAATAAGGAACTGAAGTTATTGCATATAGTAATAACTGCAGCAGCTTAATAGCTCATCTACCTCCAAATCAAAACATGAAAGCAGCAGCTCAATAGCTCAATAGCTCATCTATTCCAAATCAAAATAAGAGGCGATTTTGACGTATAACATTATCGCACGTTGGAACAGAATATTGCTTTTAACCGTAGATTAGATTGATTTATGCTTCGATCTTTTAATTTCTTAATGTAATTTGATTGTTATCATAAATAGTTTTCGGTATCTTCATCTCAATCAACTTTTAAATTGTAGTTAACAAGAGCATGTAATGTTTTAGAGGAGCAAAAAGGATTAACTCTATAAAATTAGTAATTAATTCAATAGTTTATTAATTACCCTTAACAAATCAAAACTTATAAATTCCTCTTCTTTCTG